TGCCTCCACCAGTGTGTGAGAGTGAGAGTGAATGAATAGTGGCATTGTAAAGCGCTTTGGGTGCCTTGAAAAGCGCTATATCAATCCAATCCATTATTATTATTGTGTAACACTTCAACCTGAAACAACAAATAGATGCGTTGGCCTGTACAGGAGATAAAATATTTAACAACAGCTAAATAAACGGTAAATGGGCTGCATTTGTATAGTTTACTTAGTCCCTAAGGACCCCAAAGTGCTTTACACTACTGTACATTCACCCATTCATGATGCTACATTGTAGCCACAGTCACCCTGGGGCGCACTGACAGAGGCGAGGCTGCCGGACACTGGCAGCACGGGGCCCTCTGACCACCACCAGTAGGCAAACGTGGGGTTAGTATCTTGCCCAAGGATATTTAGGCAGGCAGGAGGCAGCCTGGGATCGAACCACCGACCTTCTGATTACTGGCTGACCTGCTCTGCCACCTGAGCTACAGCTGTGAGATGGAATAGTCCAAATCACCAAAGTAAACTGGACCTGGGTTTGTTGCAGGATCTGAAGTTACTAAACATGTTGTGAGTGTGTGCACTCACACTTAGGACCATATAATAATAAATATGTGTGTGATGAAAGTTGGGCAGCACGCTAACGTCCTTACTCCACTCTGTGTGCTCGTGTGGGTCTGACACTTTCACTCCTTTGAGTTTTTCCTCATACTTTTTTTTTTGCCTTTTCGTCACGTCTGTCTTTGTACGGAGCTGCCGTGTTCTCTGTCGTTTTGTACAGAACTGTTTTTGGGCAAATAAAATGCAAGTAGGGATTAAAACCACAGAATTGATGATTACCGGTGCTGGAAATACTAGCGCTTAATGCAGTTTTGATTTTGTTGCCACTTGTACCCACAATGCACTGCATGAAAGTCACATGGTCTGTCAATCTCTAAAAAAAAAGTTTAAGGGTCCTGGAGGAAGACGGGGAGCAAACAGAGTGTTACCTGTCTGCAGGTGGGCAGCAGCAGTGGGCGTGTCAGAGTGTGGAATCTCCAACCACGTCTGACTTGTAGGGTTGACTCAGCGTGGAGATCCACCCCACTGCGCTCAGAAACTCCACAGCCAATCAAAACACTGGGATCCTGATTGACAGACACATGGACCAATCAGCTGCAAGGATTCAGGTCAGATCAACTCCCCACAAATAGGAATGGTGGGAGTCATCTGCATAGCAGTAAAAATGTAAGCTGTGTTTTGATGATGCTGCCTAAGGGAAGCATGTATAATGTAAACAGAACTGGTCCAAGCACTGAACCCTGTGGAACTCCATAATTAACCTCAGTGTGTGAACAACTACAGTTAAAGCTGAAAAACGTGTTCATGTGTCTAATATCAGAGAGCAGAGACCGATGAGGCCAACCTCTGGCCACGCCCCTTAGTGACATCATCAAAGCTGGGTTAATACCTGAGTGTTAGCGGCGATGAGTCTGTAGAAACATCCAGGCTGGAGGACAGGAAACCACCGCGTACACACACCTGAGAACACCAGCACCACCTGCACGCACACACACACACACACACACACACACACACACACACACACACACACACACACACACACACACGTAACTGTGTATCCAGGTGAGCTCAGGTAAACACACACAGGTGCGTCTCTCACCTTTCTCTCCTGCTTTTGTTCACTTTCTTTCTCTGTCATTGGCTCATTCTTCGGGTCCCGCCTCCAGCTGACCACTGGACCAATCACAGCAGCTTTCACTGAGAAGCACAGTCTCAGCCCTGCCTCCTGATCCTCTGCCTCCGCCCCTGTATTCCTCCAGGACACACCCTCCTTCTGCTCCACCCTGATCACCATGGAGACACAGGGCCAGGGGTTGCCGGAGTCGGCTTCTTCTTCTTCTCTTCTCCTCCTCTTACTCCCAGCAGTCTCTTCTTCTTCTTCCACTGTCTGCTTCCTGGCAGTGACATCCCCTCCTGGCTCCTCCCCCTTGTGTCTCAAGTGTGTCTCCATGGCAACAGATGGACTCAGGATGTGCAGGTGGTCCAGAGAGAACTGCAGGTAAACCCTGTGAATTGAACCCAGCTTTATTTAACTTGTAATGTTTACAACCAGGAAGGAAGCTCACATCCTGAACCAATCAGACGCCCTCTTACATCACAGAGAATGGACCAATGAGCAGTCAGCATGCTGCAGGTTGTGTGTGTGTGTGTACCTGCAGTGTTTGTGTGTGATGAACCTGTCCTGGTCCAGGTGTTGGTAGGAGGGGAAATCTGATTGGAGGAATCTCTCTGTCACCATGGTGAACTGCACCACACCCACCAGACAACCTGCAGCGCACACACACACACACACACACACACACACATTAAAGAATAAAGCTGTGTGTCACTGTGTGTGTCTGTGTGCGTGCATTGTACCGATCCAGGCGCTGTTAAAGACCGCCCTCTGCGCTCCCTCCTCCTCCTCGCTGCTCTCCGTCAGCACGCAGGCTGCAGCTCCCGCGGCGTCTCTGAGCTGCATCGAGTGTTTGAACTCGGACGTCTGTGACGGCAGCTCCAGCACGCCGACCAGCAGCAGGGGGCGCTGCCTGACACACAAACCGGCAAAAATCATTGGTACGTAATCACATGACTTCATGTGGGAGCTGCTGTCACCTTACCTCACAGCGTCTCCACCCTGAGGCTCGGAGGACAGAGTCCTGCAAGACCAGGACAGGAACCCGTTGATCTGGGAGGAGGTCAGGTTGGAGCCATCAGGGGGCAGCAGAGAGCTCAGAGGGGCCGAAGACCAGCAGCCAGTCTGCAGGGACTCCAGGAGCTCCGACACACCGAGGTACTGCCGGACCGCCGAGGACACGCTGTACTGCAGGGACACAGAGCACACTGAGCATGCTCCACACTCACCTGTAAGGAAGACAGGTGAGAGTGGGACCTACCTGCGTCACAGGACAGGTGTGAGGCTCGTCCAGCATCTCAGCGTAGATGTCTCTGCGTCCTCGTCCTCCAGCTCTGCTCAGAGTCTCCATCAGCCTCCAGGACAGCAAGCACACACACTGCTGCCTCCACACACCTTGGACCAGACTGAGGACCAAGACCGGGACCAGGAAACAAGCCAGAGCCAGCGGAGGACAAAGGTTAGGCTCTGCTGTCCCTGACTGTGGACAGGTGGTGGTGGGTGGAGCCTCACCTGTGTGCCAGCTGCGAGCTTAGGTGACAGGTCCACAGGTAATCGGACACATCTGTGTTTCTCTGCAGCAGTAACCGTGGTAACGCCCCATCTCCCGGGCAGCGGTTGTCAGGTGGCGAGCCTCCCGCCCTGCTGAAGGCCGTCACCCTCAGGCTGGAGCGCAGGCAGGTGCAAAGCATGCTGGGAGGGAAGTCCGGGCAGGGCCGGTACAGGAAGTGGGCGTGATGCAACTGCAGGAGGAGGAACCATCAAACTTTATTAGTCGTGGCTGCCACGAACACAAACGGGCATGATGATGTCACATCATGTGACTCACCTCCACTCTGTCTCCCGCCCTCAGCTTCCTCTTCGCCGGCGGCTGATAGGCCACGCACAGACCCACCTTCCCATCCAGCACGTAGAGCCCCGCCCCCTCACTCACAACCTCAGTCACCGTGCCCTATCGCAGCAGAGGAGGCTTAGTAATCAGCACACAGGTACAAACATGTAGTAGCCAATCAGAGCTCACAGCACACTCACCTGGTAGCTGATGACTTTGGAGTGCTTTATCCTCACAGCTGATTGGTCCAGCTCCACCTCCTCATGCTCCGCCTCCTCACAGTCGTCCTCAGCAGGCTGTGACAGCAGGGACTCAGAGTGTGTGTGTTCCTGTGTGTGTTCCTGTGTGTGCGTGTAGTCGGCGTGCAGCTCGGAGTGCTTCGTCACACACAGGATGTTGTTTCCTCTCCAGCCTCGCAGCGCACACACACGTAGAGCTGTCACACACACGCCCTGCCCGACACACACACGCTGGATCCAGCTGAGCCGGCTGCTGTCCTGCACACACACACACACACACACTGAGCTTCATCGTCCCTCCTCACCATCATCATCCTCAGAGAGCTGGTACCTGTACGAGCACGGGCAGCGAGCGCGACTCATCCGTCAGCGTGAAGCAAAAGAAGGTCGTTCCTGCCACGGCCAGCAGAGGGCAGACTGAGCCCACCTCTCCGAACACGCTCAGCCGCTGACCTTTGACCCTGGAGCACACACACACACACATCTGTCACACACACTGCTCAGAAACTCCACTGCAGTTCAGAGGTCATGTGACCCACCTGTGCCTCAGCAGCCTGCCGGCCTCTCCGACTCCCACCGCTCCGCTTAGCTCCACCCTTCCAGGAGCAGCAGCCAATCCCTGCTCAGCACCAGGACACAATAGGACAGGGGAGCCAATCAGCTCCAAGAAGCCTGCGGCCTCTTCCTGGCCCGATGCATTGTGGGGGATGTAGTTCCAGTGAGGGAGGAAAACGGGACGATCGAGCCACAGGGGCGAGAGAGACAGGCACTGGATGAGAGAGAGAGAGAGAGACGCGGGTGAGAGAGTGGCGGAGTGTGTCCTGGGTGGATGCTGGAAGCCTGTACTGATGATGACAGCTTCATCAGCTCTGATCTGCAGTGATGCCGTTTGTTTTATAGCTGCAGTAGATCAGATCAGATTAGATCAGATCAGATGAAACTTTATTGATCCCTCGGCTGCGTTCCTCCGGGAAATTCGGTTTCCAGCAGCCCAGCACCGACAGAAGTTACAGAAGGTGAGCAGAAATATACCACATATACACATATACAAATACAGAGTATAGAAAAGGGAAGAATAGAATAAATAGCAATAAGAACACAAGGGAATTGCACATTTCAAGTACTGTGAGTCATTAATCCGTGCGGTGATGCCAGGACCACGCTGAGTCTGCTGCTGAGTCTGACTGTAATCTGTCAGGTTACTGCAGGTGATGCTATCTGTATACTTTATGTGAGGAGGAGGCTCCACATCTTTATAAAGCTCTGCCGTCATCACGTCTGTGCCAGCAGAGTTACTCACTTGCTGACAGACTCTGTCTTTACATCCTTACTTATCGATCAGCTAAGTGAATCCATATAAACACAGCTCACATTTAACAAGTCCTGATGTTTCTGAGTTACAGAAATGAAAGTCAGCTGTTGAGCTTGTTTCATGCTGATGTAAACATCACCAGAGAAGCGTGTGATGACCAGACTCTATCAGCACTTGTGTCCCTGCACAGAGAATGAGCTGAATTAAAGAGGAATTCGATTTCATTCACGTTGCACATGAACGCCTGCAGTTTGTTGTCACCTCGTTACCATCAGTTCTGACCAGATCCCGTTTAGTGACGCTGCTGTGAAGAAGCTCCTGAGAACTAACCAGCTGATGGACGATGGGTTAAGGTTAGGCTCCTCCCCCTCTGACTCACCACACACATGACGCTGCCGCTGGCGTCCGTCAGCCTGTACTCTCCGTCAGGGCCTTCTCTCAGACAGCCAATCAGCAGCAGGTTGACCCTCGGCAGCGCCCTCTGACCCGGCACGGCGAGCTCCGCCTCCCTGGCCCAGGCTCTCTGCTGATTGGTGCTCCAGGACAGGTTGCTGACGCAGGCCAGGTGCTGCTGGGAGACGAGCTGGGAGACGGACAGCAGTCTGCGGACAGACGGGAGGACAGCGGTAAGGCCAGGTCACGTGACCTGCTACAGCGATGATGTCAGCGGGCGTTACCTGTAGCTGACAGGTAAGCTGTGGGCCACACACATCTGCTGCTGGATCGCCTGCACCGCACACATGCTCAGATCGAAGAGGCTGAGGTCACCGTGGTTACCTGGGAAAACAACGTTTAAAGGGTAAACACAACCATAAACAACTGAAGCCCCGCCCACTAAGAACACCTGAAGTGGACACCAGAGCTGGTGTGTCAACAGGTGGGACCACCTGAGGAAGCAGCTGCTCTTCATCCTCAGACTCTTAGTCCTCCCTGTTCCTCACTGACAGTCGGTCACCTTCATGGCTCTGACCTTTGAACCACACTCACATCTACACACTGGACTGCTCTGATGACACCTGTGAGGGCAGGTGAGCCCTGCTTTCACTGTTTAAATAATGGTTTAAATAGTATTTGGTTTCATAAGTGAACATCGTCATTAAGGATTTAAAGTACAGCTGATTTATCAGCCAGCTGTTTCAAACAAACAGGAACTCACCTGTCTGCGAGGGGGCGGAGCTACACACCACAGGACTCAGGTGTTCAGAGATGGAGGTGAAGATGTTCTTTAACCACAGGGACTCCTAAAGAAACAAAGCAGCAGGTCGGAGGTCACAATAATAAATGTAGAACAGGCTCACATCCTTATATTCTCTTTTCTGTGTGGATTTCTGCTATAGAATTAGCTCGAAACAGCGATTGGCTGCTGCTCTGCCTTACGTCATGACGCAGACAGTCTACGTACGCAGGGCTGTGCGTGTACGTAGACTGTTATTTATCGCTCAGTTCGGGCAAACAGGGTCAGTCTGGGACTCACCGCCTCGGTGCTGGGCTTGACCCGGTCCAGGAGCTCCTGCAGGGGGTCCATGTCTTCGCTCCGGGTGCCGGTTTCTCCCCCTGCTGACAAACTCCCGCTCACGGCTTTCAAACAGCTTCCGGTCCTCCTCCTGTTGATGTCCTCCCTCTGACCGTCGCCGCCGTGTTCCCGCCTCTTACCGTTCATAAAGCCGCCATGATGCCCTACCGCCCTACTTTGTTTACTTTTGTTCTGTATTTTAAACAAAGCATCAAACTTATTAAACTGACTAGTCTCTGCTCACGCAGGATCTCTACCGCGCATGTGCGGAACAACTTTAAACTGCATTTCACAATAAAAGCCCTTTACGTCCACACACACTCAGTGGTCTCCTACCTCCTTTCCTAAGCACTTTTCCTTGATAGAAACGTTCTGAGGTGGAGGAAATGTGTTTAGGAGATGTGATAAGAACTCAGGAAAGGAAACAGCTGTGTTTGAACTACAAGTCGATCACGTGACTCCAGCCCAGCGTGTTCTCAGCCTGATTAGTGCAGGTGAAGAACATGCTTTTATTATGAAGGGGTCAGACTTCCTGCTGAGGCTCAGGGTCATGTGACTGACAGCACCTTATGCAGCTCACCTGACGCCACAAGGTGTTTCCTTTTCAGGAGGATGACACCGTGCGAACCTCGGGAATCTTAAACAAAAACACATTTCTGTCAAGTGGAAACTTTAAAATAAAATAAAATAATATATATTCAGCTTGCAGAGCATAGATGCAGATCAAACTGAAGGTTTGTCACTGTTTTTTGTTCACGTTTTATTCAGGCTGCAGGTGTCTCAGTGGAAAAATAGAGCGTGGCTGAGCGCACCTGTGCAGACCAGTGATACAGTTTAAGATCAGAGAATTGTAACCCCCTCTTTCATATGGCAGGCACAACAAGCCAAGTCTTCATCTAGGACCTTTGTTAGTCCAAATTAACCAATTAAAGATATCGTTTAACTTCTGAAAGGATTCTTTTGGAGGAGGCAGAGGAAGTGACTCAATATAAAAACTTTGCATAACCTTTCATCCTTGTTCAGGAATAGGACGGAGGAGGATTTTGAATCATTTATAGCCAGAAAATCGTCTAAATAGCTCCATTTGTAGCATTAATTTTGCAACTTTGCTAACAGACAGCCTAGTCTAGGGCCTAGGGCCAATCTCTGCTCTCGATGTCCTAACTGGAAACCAAATAGTACAGCTCTCATTCTAAGTGTCATCACCAGAGGTTCCATAGTCAGAATAAATAGCATTGGAGATAACGGGCACCCCTGATGAGTGGAACGCTCCAATGTGACGGGTTTAGAAACTATTGTTTGTTACAAAAGTTGAACCCATCTGAGAAAATGATTTCCAAATCCATATCTTGGGAGAACGTTAAATGAATCTATTCTGTCCGAGGCCTGACGAGCGTCCAGTGATAATAAAGCTGCATCGTTAGCATCACATCTCTCATGAATTATATGAGAACCCTTCTTATATTGTGAAACCCTTGATGCTTTGGTACAAAGCGAATCAAATGTGGGATCCAAGGCTCTGATCTTCATGCTAAACATTTAAAGTATTTTAGTGTCAACCCCCGTCAGACTGTAAATGATGAGTGTTCTGCAGGTTTAGCAGGTTTCTCAGTACTCACTGCCTGTCTCACAGTGGGTGGAGAGCCTCAGTTTGATATGCGTCTACATACATGTTAAAAAGTGGAATTATTCTTTCTTCTGGGAAGGTTTTGTAAAGTCAGAAAGCCATCTGGCCCAGGTGCCTTACCACACAGCAAATCCAACATGTCCAAATGAAGACTGTCAGATTTGATTTCAGCTCTTTTAAAGTGTCTTTATAAGTTAATTTAACTCTTATTGGAGAGTTGGAACGTTAACTCTGACTTAGTGTTGAATACCAAATCTGTCTGGAGTTGATCATTCAACACTTATTCATGCTAACTAGGTGTTAAGAGTTTATATACTACCCCCCACAGAGGATTTTAGTTTAAATACATAAGAGTTATCTTCTAATTCATTCTGTGAATTTTACTGTTCTCAATTTCTAGAAATTCCTTTGGAAATAAACATTATTGCAAAGAGGACTGCATCAGCTGAGGCAACATGGTGTCCTGTGAGCTCAATTTTCTTTTAATCAGAAAAGGTCAGAGACAACAAAAGCCAAGCAAAGCATCAAACAAAGGAAAAATAAAGACAAGTCAAATGTCCAGCCAAAGGATTTATGGGAGACTCCATCAGTGATGGACCGAGTCAACCGGCATTTCACCTCTGAGAAAGATATATAACAGAACAGCTTTAGTTTGAGTTTGAACTTATACAAAACGCAGCAATATATTAAAAAAAACACACAGTTTTATTGATTATAAAATACACTATTGGAGTCATGTCGGTGTGGGCAGAAATCCAAATGTAGGATATGGGACATAAAACACGGTGCCATCTCTAGACTCCATAGTCCCACAGGAGCTCCTCTCCAACCACGATGTCCCTCAGGGCGATGAACAGCACACTCTCCCGAGGACCAGCAGGGAAGTTCATGGTGAACCTTTGTGGCTTCACGTTTGGATTCCTTTGGCAATGGTTCATGTGCCTTCCATAGGAGTCCTTGTGCAGGTGGCAGGCACAGGGGGACGCAGTGGCATCAGCCCTGTGGCACTCGTCCCTGTAGAAGAAGAGAGACCCTGACTGCCGCCTCTGATTCCCTGCAGCTTTGGTGATGCACGTCCCGTGGTAGTCGCAGACGACGTCTCCTTTGTTGAAGGGCATCAGGGCGATGACACCTGTGAGCAAACAGGAAGTCATCATAAGCTCTTTAGAAATGTTGACTTGCTGTCAAACGAGGGTGTGGTCCAAACGATAGGTGCATTTACCTTTGCCCTTTTCCTCCCCGAAGTCCTTCAAAGCCAGGCCCTTCCATTTCTGCTCTGAAATCGAGGACATGAGGGACGGGCTGTCCTGGATCCTGGGCTGTGGAGCAACCCAGGCCCGTAGGACGGCATCAACAGTGGGCTTGTTGGTGCTCCAGGTCTCCTTATCTAATGCCGTCTGTACTCTTGCACGCTGAGGGGCGTTGCCTCTTCTGGCACACCCTGTCCCAGAGCGAGGCGTGAGGAATACTGCAAATCAACCATCTGAGTCAATCATATATATTTGAACCTCTGTGATGTGAAGTATTGCTGAGCTATGTGTATATATTAGAGCTGTAAATAATGGAGGCAGAGCATCCATTAGCATGACGGGCTTACCGAGGATGTGCTGAACTCTCTGCTTAAGCTGAAGCTCCCTCCACCTTTTGTAGTGGGCTCGGTAGTGTGGAAAACCAGCCTGTACACACCGGCGTTTTGAAGGTGGCTCTCCATTTAGGGTTACTGGGAAGGTCCGCTGGAAGGCATCCCATTCCCTGAGTGGTAGGCGCTTTGTGGAAATGGGCCTACACAGAATGAGAGAGAAACCCACCAATAGTTTGGATGTGGAAACTTGTAACGCAGGTTTTCTTGTGCTAGTGGGTAACATAAAAACGAAAAGCATACCTGGCCTGTCCCGAGGTTTCTACTCCTCCTGCTGAGTGTGATGCTGACCCAGCCGCAGGATCCTCAGTGTCGCTGCGCAGGTATCTAACCAAATTAGAAAGGTGAAGCAGTTCTACATCCACCAACAAACGCAGCAACACATGTGTTTGAGTGCTATGACCACACTGGCAAAGTTTTGCCAGTATGGATCCAGTGGTGTGCAGCACTCACCTGGCCCTCAGGCGCTGTACATCTCCTGTTGGGTTGGTCAGAGGGACCCCACCTTCTCCCAGGAAGAACCTGCCCCCGTCGTCACTGCCAGCTCTTTGGTTTTGTAAGTACACTGGGCGGATGTTCTTAAAGTAGCACTCCAACAGCTGCAGAGACAAGAGCCATCAATGACAACTATAAATCACCTCCCAGGGTCCACACAGAGCAGGAAGAGAGTCGCTGCTGAGAACAAAGGACTTACTTCTTCTTCCTGGATGGTCATCCTCAAGCTTGCCCTTCGCTCCATCCAGTCCTGCACCTGTGGGTGTGGGACAAAGTGTTGGAGCTCAGGGTGATGCACACTTCCATCAACTATCACTTATAATTTACTGTTTTTGTTGGCGGCGCTTACAGAAAGTTCCTGAACAGCACCTGCTGTCAGTCCGTGCTGTAACATCAGGATGGCCTCGCAGTACTGCCTGAACGTTGTCATGGCAACGTTGGGGATGCAATCACCGCCTACAAGCTTTTGGTGGAAATACTCGATGTCCTTTTTGGCCAGGGCGAGGATTTCCTTCTTATCAAAGCTGTTGCAAAGGTGACAGTAAGACAGTGTTGAAAGTGCGTATGTGTCCTGCAGTATGTATGAGCCAGAGTGGCAACAAGCTCATCAGACCTCTGTGTTGGGAAGGTTTGGGGAGTGTCTGTGATGATAAAGCCACGACTCTGAAGACGACTGCAGAGTTTGGTGCAAGATGTTGCGTCCTTGCAAAACTCCTGCAGCTCCGAGACGCTCCAGAGTCGACCTTCCCTGGAAAACAGCTTCTGGGAGGCTTTAGCTCTGGAAGCTTCTTGCTCCCTCTCCTGTGCTGTGCCGTCTTTCAGGCACACTCTGCTCAGGTGATTCCAAATGGACAGCTGGGGCTTGTTGCACAGCAGGCAGTACACAGTGTTTCTATCCATGTTGTTTGGACTGCAAATACAAAGAGAGAGGCAAACTCTGCACATCACTTTATAGCACCAGTAGCGTGTCTCAGTATGATGCAAAGATAGCTATGTCGCTACACTGGACACCGAGCAGTACCGACTTTAAAACTGAACCTTTGTTGATCCTCTGCTGTTTCTCCAAAGCACACAATGTTCTGCACAAAGACATTTAACTTTAGCACATGTATAAAACATGCACGCACACCAGCAGTTCGTTCAGCTAAAAGAAACGCTCCATAGAAACCATTTCTACAACCAGCAAACGCAAAGAAAACAAGCCATGACTAAAACAGCAGTTACGTAAATGAGCAAAGGTTGCTAAACAAACAAAACTGAACCAGAAAGTCTCCAGACATCATGTAACCACTGTTTGACAAACAGTCCTACTGTAGGATGATGTTACAGTGATGTCTGACAAACCATCCCACTTAACCGAAGCTGCAAATTCGATAGTTTTGTGCCAAAAGCAGATGGCGTTTTCACTTTAAAATGAACAAACATTCACAAAGGCTTAAAACAATATAGTATCCAAGTCAATAACATGCTAATACTTCCAAGTATGAACACGGAGTAGCGTTAAATCACCCGGTGTTCCAGATTAACTGGTGACGGTGGAACAGATGGTGGATTTTTAAAAATATTTT